TTTTCCCGCACGCGCTGGTCTAAAGTGTAGTCCCCCTTTGTTCAAAACACACTTTAAAGAAACTAACACATTCAGCCCAGTATCTAACCTTGACAACAGCAACAATAAAGGAAAACAGGACAGTGATTAGTCAGATGAGGAAATATTTATTACTAGACACAAAGAATGAGCATAAATGTAGCTCTCAGTTTCCTGGCAGGAAAGCAAACACGTGTGAGATTATGTAATTATTGTTGCATGATAGAAAAAAAAAAAGCAACAAAATTTATCTGGAAAGATAAACATTTTCCTGGCAGAAAATTCCAAGATGAACTTAACTCACAGGCTCTTCTATTAGAGACACTAGACAACATAATGACGAGAATCTTCAGCTGGCACAGAAGTACTCAAGTGGATGTTTCAAATACTGACCTTCCATAAAGGACGAAGACATAATATGGAATATTTCATGAAGACTTTTCTGAAGGAGCCTGTGTGTCTGGTTTTCTGCCTTTACAACCAGGCCGACTTAGCCAGCGTCACAGAGAAGTATGTGAAGGAGGCTGCTGGGCTGGTACATCCTTTGGACCTGCTGCTTTACAGCCAGCTCACTGTTGCATTGTTATTGTCTAAAGCACATTCTGGTTGCTGATTAAAGAGGGAAGCTAGTCTGAAGGAGGCAGGCTTAGTATTCTGTTCAGAGATTTAAGGGCCCAAACACCAAGAGAAGGGATGGATCCAGCCACCGCGGCGTGGAGCTGGGCTCTGGGTTGAGGGGGAGGCTTGCAAGAAAGGCAGGCTTTCAGAGGAGCTTTTAGTCTGCTCACGCTTTCAGATGCATCCTCGGACCCCAGAGCATGGAAGAAACTATTTCAAATCAAATATTTTTAATGGACGGGCTACATTAAATGCCGTAAGGGACCAGACAGGAAGTGAGGGAGCCAGACAGTGGGTGTAAGGTACACAGGCCCACTCGAGTCAGGGCTGGGACTGAGGGACACAGAGAGCAAGTGCCCCGGCCCAAGGGGACACCTCCGCTCAGCCGGCCCATATGGCCACGTGCAAACAGAGGCCCGGGACTGCCAGAGCTTCCAGTTTTTCAGGGGAGGCTAGAAATCTTAATTTTAAATGATGTTTGATGAATTAGAATATGGTCTTAGAAAATATTTTTTTAAAACATTTTGCAGGCCAAATCCAATATATCTGTAATCTGGTTTCGTATATGACTAGGGCATTTTAAAAATTGTTTTTCATTTAATGGCATAGTCAAATAATTGATTTATATGATTGTTTACATTTGTCTGGGCATTTTTTTCAGCGTTCTTGAGACAATTGACAGATAACATTGTGTAAATTTAAGGTATATGATGTGATGATTTGATACACTTATATATTGCAAAATGATTGCCCCCATAGTGTTAGCTAGCACCTCCATCCCATCATATAACTACCATTCCTTTCTTGTGGTGAGAAATTTAAGATCTACTCTCTTAGCAACACTCAAGTATATACAGCTGGTCATCTTTAAATAAGGAGGAGGAACACAAATATTAATAGTATTTACTGAATTCTTATTATGTGCCATGCAGAGGGCTATGTGTGTACAAACTCATTCAATCTTCACAGAGCTCTTTGAGGCAGGAATTACCAACATCATCATCATCACCTCTGCTTTACAGACACGGGTGTTCTGAGCTTGAGGAACGTAAAGAACTTGCCTAGGTCCCACAGCAAGCAGTGGAAGCCAAGCAGGCAGTCTGGCTCAGAGCAGTGTTCTCTGCCAGCCCAGAGCCCAGTGCTGTACCTGGATAACATTTTTCTCTGTGAGTGTTGAAAACAGGCATTATTTTGGATCCCACAGTGTCTTGTCTAATGACAGGAAAGAATAAAACCCAAAAAGCGCCGAGGGACGCGCTTATACCCCCACCCCTCTCCCCGCTCTCCCTCCCTCATTGTCATCGCTCAGATGTGAGTTACGAGAAGAGTCTCCCGGAAATTTACAGTATGTGTGGGGCTGAATCATGGTGGGCTTGATGCTCCCACCGACTCAGAGCTTCACAATTCGCCATCAAAAAATAGCAGATGGTGTTGTCTTAGCTTAAGGGAACACGTTTCCCCATTCCTTCCTAGACCAAGGGAGGAGACCGACCTGCAGCTGTGAGCAGGCTGACTTTGGTTTGTGTCTTTAATAGATGAGTGTAGAGACATTAATACGATATTATGCTAATTTGCTTAGTATCCCAGTGTTTTCGGTAACCATTAATATCATTAAACTTGAGTGTAATTTTTTATTAGTAAAGATCTTTTATCAAAGACTTAGTCTGAAATACAACTTCCTTTTTTTTAATTCATGGTTAAATCAATGATGGCCATTTGGCAGAGGCTCAAAATTATCCCTGTTAACTTGTTTTTAATAGCATTTGATTTATATGTGTGCTCAAACCTCCAACATATGCATGTATGTATGTGTCGTAACTGCGGTCATACGCACTTAGACACAGTGTTATTGGTGGGAAATGAAGCATAAAACATGAAAAACGTGTAATTATTAAGAGGTTGAAATTACAGTTTTTAACTCCTTCCAGAACAGGGATGTTATATGATACAGCTTTGATTATTTTTCATTTTGAGTGAGCTAAGTTCCCGAATAAATTTGGTTTTTTACCTTCCTAAGTAATTGTCAAATGTCACCCCTCTAATGGACGTGAATTAACATGTTGGTTTGCCCATTCATATATGCTTTTCCTTTGGACTCATGCTGTCCTCCCAGCTAGGAGACAGGTAGACTCCTCAGAACAAGATCAAAGCCCCTGGAGATAGCAGTGGGAGAACTTTAGTTGCTTTTCCTCTTTTTCTAACCTAAATGTATAAATAAAGTGAAAAAAAAAACAGTTGTTAATATCCATGGCTTGACTCGTTCAACATTGAATGTATTCACGTGTGCACGTGTAATAGTTCTGTGGAACGCATACAATGAGTGACTCTGAATTTTATTTTAGACCATCCACGGACACAAGGGACCAATCACTGCAGTGGCCTTTGCCCCGGATGGACGCTATCTTGCTACCTACTCAAACACTGACAGCCACATTTCTTTCTGGCAGGTGAGTGCAGATGCTCCAGGGTCTTGACGCGTGTTGCATGATTGTATTGCATGATCTGCTTTTGCTC